TGTATTCTTCTTTTTTTTTTGTGTTTTGCGCAAACAATAATAGAAAATGAAAATGAAAATGAAAACAACAATAGCAAAATACAAAAAAAAAAATTAATAGAAAAAAGCCAATGACTACTAACGAATGTGTCATAGTAGAGAGAGTACAAAAAACAAACATATTTTCAAACCGAGAATAAATAATATATTTATGTAGAAAATTATCAGCCGTTTATATAGCGAAAAACAGCGAGTCCAAGAAAAAATTCAATCCACACTCAGTGTTTATTCATTGTTCTCTCTATTTTACTTCATAAAATTAAATTAAAAGTTTTCTCTTTTTCATCACCACTCTATATTTAAAAGGTAGTCCTTGTGTTACATGTCATTTTCCAGAATTTTTATTTATCTATCTCCCTCAGACTTAAAGAAAACTTATATATATTTTTATTTTTCAAAATCCTACTCTGGCAACTTTTCTATAGACATAGTTCAGATTTTGACAACTTAAGATGTTCACATTCTGACAACCTTTATATAGAAAAACATGTTCTGATTCTGGTAAAAAAAGTTGTTCAGATTGTGCCAACATTTTTATTGAAAAAGTCTGTTAAGATTCAACATTTTTATAGAAAAATTTGTAACTTGTTCAGATTCTGACAACTTTTCCACAGAAAAAGTATGTTCAGATTCTGACAATTTTTCAGTTGAAATATACTGTTCAGTTTCCGACAACATTTCCACAGAAAATATCTGCCTAGATTCTGACAACTTTTCTATAGAACAAGTCTGATCAGATTCTGACAACTTTTAATAGACAAAAATCTGTTAAGATTCTGACAACTTTTACAGAAAAATATTGTTCAGATTCTGACAATTTTTCTATAAAAAAAAATCTGTTCAGATTCTGACAATTTTTCTATAGAAAAAGTCTGTCCACATTCTGGCAACTTTTCTATAACTTTTCAGATTCTGACAACTTTTCGATAGAAAAAGTTTTTCAGATTTTGAAAAATTTGTTCAGATTCTGACAACTTTTTTATAGGAAAAGCAGTTCAGATTACGACAACGTTTCTATAGAAAAACTTGTTCAGACTCTGCCAACTTTTCTATTGAAAAACTTGTTGAGACTCTGACAACTTTTTTATAGAAAAACTTGTTCAGACTCTGACAACTTTTCTATAGAAAAACTTGTTCAGACTCTAAAAACTTTTCTATAGAAAAACTTGTTCAGACTCTGACAATTTTTCTATAGAAAAACTTGTTCAGACTCTGACAATTTTTCTATAGAAAAACTTGTTCAAATTCTGACAACTTTTTTATAGTAAAACTGGTTCAGATTCAACTTTTTTTACAAAAACTTGTTCAGATTCTGACAACTTTTCAATTGAAATATACTGTCCACATTCTGACAACTATTCCATAGAAAAATACTGTTCAGATTCTGACTATTTTTCTTTAGAAAAAGTCTGTTCAGATTCTCATAACTTTTCTATAGAAATTCTGTTCAGATTCTGACAACTTTTCAATAAAAAAAAGTCTGTTCAGATTCTGACAACTTTTCTATAGAAAAAGTTTTTCAGATTTTGGAAAACTTGTTCAGATTCTGACAACTTTTTTATAGGAAAAGCAGTTTAGATTCCGACAACTTTTCTATAGAAAAACTTGTTCAGACTCTGACAACTTTTCTATAGAAAAACTTGTTCAGACTCTGACAACTTTTCTATAGAAAAACTTGTTCAGACTCTGACAACTTTTATATAGAAAAATTTGTTCAGACTCTGACAACTTTTATATAGAAAACTTGTTCAGACTCTGACAACATTTCTATGGAAAAACTTGTTCAGACTCTGACAACTTTTCTATAGAAAAACTTGTTCAGGCTCTGACAATTTTCTGTAGAAAAACTTGTTCAGATTCTGACTACTTTTTTATAGTAAAACTGGTTCAGATACTGACAAATTTTCTATAGAAAAAGTCTATTCAGATTCTGACAACTTTACTACAGAAAAACTTGTTCTAATTCTAAAAACTTTTCATCAGAAGTTGTTTTTAGAAAATGTTTAGAATTTTTTATAGCTCCCGGAACCTGATTTAAATTCTGATAAAATATACAAATAGGCATCACTGTTTTGTATTTGAAAATCTCCCCTGTTATCATTGAATCTAAAAGAAACTCTCAGCACGTTTCATTGTTGTTGTTTAGTTATGTATATTATTTGCTGTTATTGTTGGTGGTGATGGGGTTGTATCGACCAGAGAGAAACGATGAAATATTTTACAAAGTAGATTTTTTTGTACTTGCAGTTCATACACATATTATTGTTTAATGATTAAAGTTTTTGCTTCTTCTTCCGATACTTGTGCTTCTTCTTATTTTAAGTGGTTTGATGTTTTTTAGTGCCCTAGTCCCAAGTTATTTAACTTAATATGTAGTGTAAGTACTATATTTTTTCTTTATTTTTTTTGTCATCTTTGTTTCTTTTGTTTAAAATAGTCTTTCTTTTTTGGATTTTTGCTACAGACTAAATAATATTATGTTTGAGTAGATTTTTTTAAATAAAATCTATATTTTTTGGTAAGTATTTATTTCTTATTCTTTGCTCACGTTTTCTTTGTACTTGACATGTGAGTTTTATAATTTATGGTTGAATATTTTTTTATACGATGCCTTTTAAAAATGTCTTTATTAGAAATACATTTATTTTTAAAGAAGTTATTCTTCTCTGGCATTCGAAATCGGAGAAATTTTCTATAACGAATATTTATCAGATTTGAAGATAATTTTCTAAAGAATTGTTGTCCAGAAACGAAAAAATTTTCTATAGATTTATTGAATTTTGTTCAGAATCAGAGATATTTTCTATTGGAAATATTTTTCAATGAGTTTAAATTTTCTTGAAATCACGAAATGAAAAATCTCTATAGGAGACATTAGAAATTGCTCGCAATAATTTATTTGAAAATTTAACATTGAAATTTGGTTAAGAATAGGGTCATTCAAATGTTAGAAATTTTTCATCGGAAACTAAACTTTTTGCAACTTTTGAATTAAAATTCGCTAAAAGATATTACATTCTACATTAACAGTTCAATTCGAAAAAAGATGTATTAACGAATGTATTATTTTATAAAGTAAAAAATATAATGTATCATTAACGTAAATATGTGAGAAAAAATACTTTAGAATAGTATTTCTAATTAAAAGATGGAAAGAAAAAATACATGTACATATACTTGTTGCAACCGTATCAGAAACTCTTCGACAACAAGATGGTGAATAGAACGCAAACAGAAATGGAAAAAGTCAGCATAAAAAAATAGAAAAACGCATTGAAAGCTTATTATAACAGCTCTAGATGTTTGAATATTTTCAATTGCAACTGCAATTGCAGTAAATATGTATATAAGTAGATGAGGAAACACAAACATCCACAACTATTCAAAGAAAGACAAAACACATTTAGTAATTCTCCATCAGCTAATGGCCAGGAAGACAGGCAGCCAGAGAGACAGTCTGAAAGATATAAAAATAAATACCTTCTACTTCTTTTGCTTGTTTATATGGTGGAAAAATCTAGAATTAGTTTGCAAAATAAAGAAAAAAAACTCTCATACAAAGAACAACGTCGACGACGACAACGAGAATTTTAGTTGCATTCATACTTGCAACATTTTTTTTTTGCTGTATTACAAACTTATTTAAAAAAATCTATATATAAAAATACCTGAACATAAAGTATAAAAGAAAATTTACTAAATACTTAAATGTGCAAATTTGCACTTAAAGCATTGTAGATTTTGTGGTATGTTTGCATGCTACCAGCTCTATATAAAAACAACATGTGTTGCATGCTGTATATTTAATATAAATATATATATTTTTTTATATTTTAAATCTTTGTCTATTTAATGGCAACAAAAAAGGGAAGAATTTATTTAATTTGCCGTAATAATTGTGTTGCATTTTCACCAGAGAGAATGTACAATATAGTCTACAATATCTAATTAAATTCTTATCTTAGGAAAGAACAGTTTTTGAAAATTTAAAAATGTTACTCAGAATCTGACAACTTTTCTATAGAAAAGGTAGATCAGAATCTGTCAACTTTTCTATAGAAAATGTAGCTCAGAATCTTACAACTTTTCTATAGAAAAGGCAGCCAGGAAACTGTCAACTCTTCTATAGAAGAGACAGCTCAGAATCTGACAACATTTATATAGTAAAGTTAGATCAGAATCTGACAACTTTCCTATAGAAAAGATAGCTCAAAATCTGACAACTTTTAGCTCAGGATCTGACAACTTTTCTATAGAAGAGATAGCTCAGAAACTGAAAATTTTTCTACGGAAAAGCTAATTCAGAATCTGACAACTTTTCTATAGAAAAGGTGGATCAGAATCTGACAACTTTTCTATAGAAGAGATAGCTCAGAAACTGAAAACTTTTCTACGTAAAAGCTAGTACAGAATCTTACAACTTTTCTATAGAAAAGGTAGCTCAGAATCTGACAACTTGTCTATAGGAAAGAAAGCTCAGAAACTGACAATTTTTCTGTAGAAAAGATAGCTCAGAATTTGACAACTTTTCTCTAAAAAGGTAGCATCTGACAATTGAAAAGAAGCACTCAGATGAAAAACTGACAGATTGTCTACAAACAAGTTGTCAATCAATATAATCTGTCAATTATCAATAGTAATTTTATACGACCTAGCCCATAAATAATTCTCCACCTTATTTTTCCCAAACAAACCATTTACTAACAACATGGCAAAAAAATTAAATATATTAAATTTCATTATCAATCATATCTAATGGCAATAGTTAATACCACTATTGACAAACAATGATTTAATTGTAGACAAAAAAAAATATGATTTTATTAAATCAATGACACAGTGGGGAGAAAATAATTATCGAAATAGATAATAAACGGCAATAAACCAATGAAATAAAATGTTTAACAAGAGATAATACAATTATCAGAAACTACTTTTATACAACAATAATAATTACTTACCGCTGCGGCATTGCGTGAAGCGGCTGCAGCTGCAGCAGCTTGATTATTCATGTATTGATTCTGTTGTTGCATCATACCCAAAGCAGCGGCAGCATGTGGTTGTCCACCCAGATAAACCAATTCACCAGGACCAGGTTGTCCGGGTGGTGGAGGTTTTGGTACGCCAACACCATTCATGCCCACGCCTGGATGTACGCCTGGATGATCGTAAATGTTACCAGTTGCAGCTTGCATTGCTGGTGGCATTTGCATATGAGTCATGCCAGCTGCTATAGCAGCAGCAGCGGCGGCAGCGGCTGCTGGATTATTCATGGCGTGATTGAGAAGATTCGAATTGTATTGATGAGATTGCATTTGTGATGGATGTGGGGGACCATGCTGTTGATGTTGAGGATGAGGAGGCTGCTGATGAGCAGGATGTGGTGGTTGCTGCTGTTGTTGCTGTTGTTGTTGCTGCTGCTGTTGTTGTTGTTGCTGTTGATGATGCTGATGTTGAGCAGCTGCGACTTGTGACATCATTTGATTATGTTTAGCAACGGCAGCGGCCTGTTGCATGGCAGCCATACCAGCGGCAGCAGCTGCAGCTGCAGAATTACCCATTTGATTCGGACCACCCATTGAGGGATGTAAACCACCATTAGTGCCCATACTACCCATGCCACCTCCCATACCAATGGGACCAATTGTACCGGGGCCACTTCCAGGTGGTGCGCCAGGTGCAGCATTGGCTGGATTCATTGGAGGATTGTACTTCCATTTGTCGGGATTCTATAAGGGGATTAAATGGAATATTTTTAGATAAAAAAAGTTGAAAGAAAGTTCTCCACTACCGGCGAATTTGAAACATATAAAGAAACAATTTCGACTAGTGCAACCCAATTCTTATCAAGCCTTTCAAATAATGTAGGCAATTACATTGGATAAAAAATTATTTACTTTACTTCATGAACTAATACCGAAGATGGAATATGGATGAAATGAGTAAAAAGTTTTAAACTATATAGAATGCCCTTAAACCTCCTATCTGAAACAATACCACACTCAGAGAAACATAAGATGTCTCAGCAAATTCCATAAAAATCTACTGTCTATTTAAAATAGCGGGACATAATGAAGGTCTCCCAAAACATTATCAATCAGTCCTAGAATAGTAAAATTGATTTTAAAATATCAAAGGCCTTATGACCAATACTTAATGTAAAGGTAACCAAAATGCTTATGCGAATGTATAAGCGCAACCTAAGGATTGTGACAAAATTTTAAATGGGGCTTTGTCCATTGGCTTTTATCAGTAAATGTGAAATAACCTACCTTCGACTTCGACAGGTTATGTAGAGGACATAAGAAATTGATCATATACAGTCCTAGAGTACAAAATCTCATATTAATAAGGTAATAGCCAATAGATTCCATGACAAACTGGGGGATATTACAGCACTCAAACCTTGCAATCTATTAGGTTCAATCAGAGAGATTCAGATTACCTTGAACTTTGTTCTTACTTTAGTGAACCGAACCGGTCCAGTTGAGAAGGTCCAGTTTACAGTTTGTGTTTTGTTCTTTTTGTTTTCCTAATATTGTTCTCTTTTCTTTAGATCTTCAGTTTCTACAAAGGAAATGGCAATGACCCTTAAGGTATCCGATTGGAGATTTCTTAACCTAACCCATTATGAGTTCTCTAACGATACATAGCCATTTATAATATGAAGAGAGTAAATCGAAAGGATGGGACATTTCCCATTATTCGCAATACTCGGTTACGGTTTTAGACCTTAAGTCACCTTAAAAGTAAATACTAACAGTACTACTATAGAAGTGGGACAATACTATACCGGACTATGTCAGGTTATACGAGGATGAGGAGAATTAGAGACGATCGGGAATATAATTTCCACTGTCAGAATCTAAAATGGCTGAGCAATAGGTTCCATGGCGGAAATTGCGGGACTTTACCCTCACACTCTTCTTGGTTTTATCAAGGGAATTAGTAATTTCTTCGACTGTGTTTTATAAGGGGACAAAGACTCTCCCTCGTTTCTTACTTTAAAGTACTGACTTGGTAAATTTAAAATTAGGATTTGAGAATAGACCTGTTTCCATTCACCTATACTCTCTACTTAGCTTCTTTCTTTCTTATTTTCTTATAGTGTTTTTTTTTTTTTTCTCTGTATTTGGATCTTCGCTCTTTGAAGGGAATCACAATGGACTTTACGAGTGGAAGTGCACGTTATTATGGTACATAATCCCTCTAAGACTAAACCTACTACTATAAAAAAGATACTTACATCAATGGTATGCTCATCACCACAGGCCCAACGTGCTTGCTTCTGGGCAAATTGAGCAGCATATTCAGCAGCTGCTACATCATGTATACTGCCGCCCGAATTTCCTACACCCGGTTGAACTCCACCCGGTGAGGGACGTGGAAACACGTAACCTACTGCTGCAGCGGCAGCAGCAACATCATCTTGAGTGCGCGGTACAGACTGATCAACACCGCCGCGCACTTGTCTGTCATCGTTACTGCCCAATAACTTCATGTGTGTTGTTGTATGCTGTTGTTCTTGTTGCTGTTGTTGATGTAGTTGAGATGAAGCTTGTACAGCTGACGCGCTACCGGAGTTCAACGAATTAGATGTTGGCTGATTTTGTGGTAAAGCCGATGAGGGCAAAGTTGATAATGAAGTGGGTGCTAATAGAAAATTATGCAAAGATTGACGCTGATATTGTTGTTGCTGAAGATGTTGTTGTTGTAGCGTTGAATTTGGTGGCCCTGTTTGGTTTGGCTGCTGGTGATGCTGATGATGATGATTAAGTGGCGTCGAATAGTAGGGTGATGGTGATGATGATGATGTTGGTGGCTGATAATGTGTTGAAGACACTGTGGACTCAATGGGGGCAAAGGATATTGCAGTAGTCGATAGCAGCTCTATTTTGAGGCCGTTATTTTACACAATTAAGATGTTTAAAATTAAGTTTTTTTTTATATATATTTTTTAATACAAAATCTTGCTGCTAGTTAAGGGAGCAATTTTTAGCAAGAAATTTTGTTAGTTATTTTCTTTGTTTTTCGGTTTTCTTTTTAATTATTCTCTTTTAAGACTCACAAGTTTTGTTTGTTATTATTAGAGATTTTTGCAAATTTACACAAATTGTTGTTGTTTGGGTTTTCTTTTATTTCTTAATACACGTTAAACGTTACGATTTAAAATATACCGAACGCGTTCCCGTAGAGTTTTCCTTATCAATTTTTACAAAGATTTACGATTCTTCTTAATAAAGTTAAACTGTTGTTTTATATTTTTACACAAGTTTTAACTTAAAATTATTTTTAATTTCTATTTTTTTATACACAAAAATAATTACACAATGACAAGGTGGTAAATGACGAACGACGACGACAACAACATTAAATGAAGTGTTGCATACACATTAAAAGATGACAATGGTTGATTATATTGGATTCTTTTCTGTTCTTTATTTATGATTTATTTAATATTTTTTTTCTTTCGATTTGTTTTTACATACAAGAAACCGTTATATTTTACTTTTATGTCAAATGAATTTATTTCTCTTTATTCTCTTACAGTATCTCACCACATAACGAGAGTGTTGTGTCAGTGATGATTGTTGCTGTTGTTATTGTAGTTGCAGAAGAATAATGATGGATCAGTGATGAGATTTTTTAATATTATAAAAAAACTTTTTACATAGATGTTATTTATGGTTGTTGATTGATATCTAATTTGCATAAAATCTAATTAATTTTTTTATACAGAAAATTTTTACACTGCAAAGAAAAAAGATAATAAAAATAGGTATATTGGAAGATTGCTTTTTTGAAATAAATATATTTTTTTTTTTTTTTTTTTTTTTTTTTTTTTTTTTTACAATAATAATAAAAGTAAATAAATAAAGAATATAAATTAAAGTTAAAAAAATGTAAAAAAAATAATTATAATAATAATATAGGACATTTTAGCATATAATGAGATGAGCTGAATGAAGTATATGTAAATTTTATATTTAATGGTGTATATAAATAAAATCTAACAAGCAGTCTTTTTTAAAGCAAAAAAAAAAAATACTAAATTTAAAGTTAATACAAATAGAAATCAACAAGCATATGGACAAGGTATCATTTAAACAAGTTATTCAACGCATATATATCAATAATTATAGAGTTTTAAGTATTTGAAAACAATTACCAACAAAAAAATTTAAATCACTCAGTTAAATATCATTAACAAATTACTCCTTATTAACAAATCATTTCAACATTAAAAAAAAAAAAAAAAAATTACAATAAATTACCTATAAATGCTCATTTCCTTTTTTTTTAAAAACTAACAAAAAAAGGAAATGAGCATTTATAGGTAGGTTTTAAAAAATAAATATGTAAAAGATTTTTATAATCTTATGGATCTATTATGTTATAGGATAATGTTGTACCTATTTGTTGTATTTGCATTATACCTACCTATTTCAAAATATTAAATTTTCAAAATCAAAATTTTTTAATTTAATAATTTGAACCCTATTACCGGATCTTTTAGAAATTGTAATATGTTAAGAAACTACATTTGTAAAATTGCTAGAAAATTAACAGAAATCATAAAAATTAGTAGAAATCCGATTTTGTGTGTATTAAATTATACCTAATTTTCAAACAAATTTGTTGTTAAAAGTGCCTATTATCTTAATCATTTATTAAGTTTATCTGTTAAATTTAAAATAACATTGGTCTAATGACAAGTTATCAAACATTTAAAAACAAATCAAGCCTTCGATAGCTCAGTTGGTAGAGCGGTGGACTGTAGAATATGATTTGTGTATAAAGAAATCCATAGGTCGCTGGTTCAAATCCGGCTCGAAGGATTTATTTTAACAAAAATTCTTTACAAATAAGGATACTAAGCCTTTATAAATAATATATATAATTGACAAAAAATTACCTATCATTTACCTATCAGTACTAAATTAACATTTTGTTGGAGGGTCATTTGGCAAATGACTGTCTGCCATGTATGTTTGTTGAAATCAAAAAGTACCTAGACAATAACATTTTTGGGAAATTATAGATTATTCTATTAGACATACTACCTATCTACAATTCTTCTATTTCAAACCAATAAAATCGGTTCATATACATTGGTACCTATGTAGGTATATCGGAAATATGATAAATGTTCCGAATTTTTATATACATTGGAAAGCATGCTCTGTAGTTAGGACAAATTAAGAATATTTCAAATGCATACTTTCCACTTAATATGCATAATGCTAGGAAACGTTCTATAAAAGAGATTGTGAAACATCTAAGAAGTACCTATTGGTCTAAAAAATAAACATTAAATATTAGAAAGAGATCCTGTGAAGCAATGTTTCATGGGTGTTACAAGCATGATCACAAATGCATAATACTGCCTCCTTCCCTATTTAGTGATGTAGGGTAAAAACAACACATGTTGAAAAAAAAATCAAAACACACAAAGGAAAAGGCGCCGCTTAACACAATGAATAAATAAATAAGTAAAATATTAAGTTAATTTAATAAACATTAAAAAAGGGAATTTAATGAAAAACGTTAACGAACAGAAATAATAATAAAATCACAAAGAAAAAATATAACAAACAATTGGAAAATTAAATGAGACATGAGCAAATTACAAAAAAAAAACTCACTCGCATAAGAAAAAGGATAGAACAGCAAAAAAACGACTTTACAACAAAAAGAAAAGCAAATAAAAAATAGATACTAGTAGTATGAGAAAATAAAAATCTGAATGTAAAAAATGTCTGAACTAATAAGAATACCAAGAAAAAATAAAATAAAAAAAAAAAATAAAATAAAAAAAAAAATCAAATAACAACAATAAACATCATATGTAGTCAGACAGACAGACGGACGGACAGGCATTCATGCAGACGGGCGAAAAAAAACGGCGAGCAGGCAATGTCAACTGTGTAAAAAATAACAAGGAGAGTGTAATAAAACGAAAGAAAATGAAAAAAGAAACAAAAACACAACACACAGAAAATGATGATGAGCAATTTTTGAAATACATAAACAAAAGAACGAACCACAAGGCAAAAATGGCGTCAAAAGAGAATTGAGGGTAAATGACAGGAATTTTATGAACACCAGCAAAGATACACAACAAAACATACGTAAATAATGAAAACAACAAAAGGACAAGTAGCATAAAGTGGAAATAAAAAATCGAAGGGAACACCACAAAAATCTTATTGGAATTCATATTATGGAATGGAAAAGTATATTTTTGTTCAACTTAAACATCGTAAATTAACTTCTATCTTTTTTTTTTTTTTTGCTTTTCGAAACAACAAAATTATAATACCTTTTATGTGTTATACAATTTTAATAATAAAAACTAAACATTCAAAAATAAATTGATTTTTACCGTTTTTTGTTGTTATTGTTGTTGGTATTCAGACGCGGTACTCACTGCTCAGTCGGTGGCAATGACAGAAAAATTGATTTGATTATTATGTATAAAACACAATTTTGCAAAAATTCTATGTCTTGCAAGTTGCAACTGTATAAAGAACTTGGTTTCGCACTTTTTGTACAAAATAAATAATTTTCTTCTTAAATATCAACAAAACTAATGTTTTGTAGAGTATTCTTTTGAAAACAATATAAACTAAATATACACTTTGTTGTTTTTTTTACACTTTACACAAAATTTAATTAAATTATATAGTTATATGACAAAACAGACAATTTTTTAATGGTCTTGATTTTTTTTATTTTTTTAGGCAAACTATTCCTTGGGTTGGTTGGCTAGTGGTGGTGGTAATAGCTCAATATAGAAAAGTACCCACAAAAGTTATTTATTTAACGATTTTATGATTCCTTTTCTGAATAAGATTTTCTTTATTTATTTTGCCACAATTTAATGAGTTTATTTTTAATAATTTCTTAATAATTTAGATTTTTATACAATTATTTACACAAAGAATTTATTATATTTTATCGGTTGAAGAAAAATTTCTTCGTCGCGAGAACACACACAAAATGCTTCTGTTCTGTTTAGTTCAGTTGCGCCGCCGTTGCCTGCCCTGCCAGACATCGGGATTTGCGGTTTTTTATGTGTATGTTTGGATATGTGTGTGTGATTTCTTTCCTTCATTTTATTCACATTTTTTATTTGTGCTCTTTCTCTCACTCTCTGCCCTTACGACATTGTTGCCAGATATAATAACATATTAAAATCTGATCAGAATCACATCACAAAGTATACAGAGGTGTCACTTTTGACATTTAAAAAAGTCTAAAATCAGCTTTTGTTTGATTTTGAAATTGTTTGGTGAGAAGAAGTACACAAAATACAACTAAAAAATCATTGAAATCGTTTTGTGCGAAAGAGAGGGAAACAGTTTTTTGCTCGTGACGGCTCTGTATACCCTGTGATCACATTCTGAGCTTGCCGTTTGTCTGCAGGTGAAGAATTTCTTATCCAAAAATGTAGCCCATTATATCTAAATATACATTTTGACCAGTGGTGTTCACATATCGTAATTGCCCTTAAAAGACCTTTAAAATATCTTCTAAACTTTTAGCGATCGGATTATAAGTTTAGAAAAAATTTGTCATTTTAACCGTTTAGGAATATAAAGGAGTTCTTTGGAAATAATCATTTTTATGATAAATTTTTCCGTGTGGAGTTGTCAGTTCTCCCATCGGACGCGTACCAGGTGGTGGATAGGGGAGCTTCCAACCAACCATGATAAATTTTAAAGCATATTTTTAAAAATGCCTATTTATATTATTTTTTCAATAATAACCGATCTGGTAACTTTGGACATGGTTGTTTTTCAATCTCTCTCATTCTCTTTTTGTCTCCCCTAATTTTTATATTTCGTAGTGATGCTAATTTAGTGATTTATTTCTTAGAGAATATTAAAAAAATAAAATAAAGAATATTAAAAAATAAATAAATATGCAACTGAAGTAAACAAATCTGCTGAATTATAAAATATTTATGTATATGTATACATATGTCTGTAAATAGCTACGATTGTATAAAATTCTATATAAAACACTACCGCCTAATTTAGAAAATAGTATAAAGTAACAACACTGTGGGGGATTACACTTGTTTTATTCCATTTTATTGTTTGTATTCTCAATTGTTGTACCGCTCTAGCGATTTTGTTGTTGTGACAGACCCCAACAATGACCGGAGCAAAGTATATAATAAGAACAAACAACAAGAAACACATGGAAAATAGCGAATGAGAACTAATGTTATGCGCACATTTTTATGTTGATATGGGTAAAATGAGCAAAAAAAGTGTAACAACTCTTATTACAATTAAGAGCTACCACCTGGTTTCTTAGATTTAAGGGTTAGGTAACTCTATTATTTGCTGTAAATTTGTAATTGTAATTAATTTAATACATACATATGAACAAATGCATTTAAAATTAAATGAAATTTTGTTTAAAATTTTTTGCTCATCTCACACATACCTACATATTGCTATTTATTTTGCCAAAATATGTTTATTTGTTTTCTTTTACTTTTGTTTATTTAGACATTTGACCTTTATACAAATATACCTTCGATAGCTCAGTTGGTAGAGCGGTGGACTGTAGCAGAGTATGAAAATGTGTAGAAATCCATAGGTCGCTGGTTCAAATCCGGCTCGAAGGATTCATTTTTAATAATTTTTCTATTATATTATGTAAATTTAAAAACAAAGCTGTTTTTTTTTTTAATAAATAAAATTATAAAACTTTACCAAAAAAAGGAAATTAATATGAACAAAAATCAGAATTCTATTAAATTAATTCTTCAAACTGCGAGATGTATCAATTATCAAAAAGAAATCTTGTAGAATGGATATTGAATATTTTCTATTTTCAGTCTTTTCAATGTTAAAATGTAATAAAAACTTTTATTATTAGAGCATATTTTTTTAAATTTCAAGAGCATAGTTTTAGTTTTATTACTGCATAGTTAATGCGCTTAAAACACTTTTATATTTGGTTTCCTTGCTAATTATAATTCGACTGATATTTATGTATTTTTAGCTGCTAAGCCCGAACCTAATGTAAGTTGTTGTTTATCACCCGCAATATGACATTGTATAAACATACATATGTATAAGGGATATATATGATAGATAGATTTCGTTTAATATGAAACTGGATTATGTTACATTTAATCGCTATACTGGAATTTTGAAGACAGATATGAGCGTTGGGTCAATTATGAGGTGTAATTTACCCTAAGGTTAATTACGAATCGACTACTACCGTTAGTAGTAATGATGGTGGTAACAGGCCCGATAGTGGCCTAGGTGTATTTCTTCAGATTTGATGTACTATATATACTCCTATCAGCCTAGTGGTAATGATAGCTTAGCGATAATGTTTATCAACCTTGCCCAAAATACAATTTGAGTTAGAGGGACGGCCAATATTCCAAACTTTTGTAAATGTACAAAACTGAATGTTTGGTTATTCTGTCGCATTCTTCAAGCAATGCAATCCGTAGTGTGGTTTTGGAGGATACATAGTGATTTTAAAGTTGTTAAATTGTACTTGTAAATATGTACTTCGCATTATTCGGGTCTATTGTGGTAATATTTATAAGAACAACTGAATAAAAAATTAAAAGTTACACAGGTTGTTCAAGAAACCACTGTTTTTTAACTCTGGCAGAGTAAGCTGCTCCTAAGTATCGGTTCAATTAAGTTTTAAAATTGTGAAAATGCGGCTTTTAATATCCTTTCTGAAGATGCAATAATCGTTTATTGTAGGATGTGGCTTCCCACAATAACGCCTCGTTCTCTGCTGAATCTATGATAAATAAATATTTATTTCTTATTGAGTCTTGAAAATAAAAGTTGTTTCCATCAGATCAATCGATATTCAACATTTCTCGTGAGAAATTACAACTCTGAAGGTTTTGAGCTCTGAGATTGTAATTCGAAGCATTTGAAGTTTTTGACGAAATATTAATAAAACAATCTATGCAGACACTTGTATTTACTCCGCTTTGTTTTCAAATAATCTCCAAAGGTCTTTGGTCTATTCCATAGTCTAGTATATAGTATAACCTATAGCCTAGTCTTTTGTCTAGTCTTTAGTCTAGTTTTTAGTCTAGTGCATAATAAAACAATAATAAGGTAGAATCAGTAGAAAAGTACGTTCTCAATTTTACATGCCTTGAATTGTCACAAAAAAGAAAATTAAAAAATATAAAGAAAATCATCAAATAAAAATTATTGAAAAATTTTTGTTAAGAAAATAAAATTGAATTATTTGAATCAAAAAGATTGTAAAACCAATAAAAATCAAAAACAGGATACAGAAGTGTGGAATGCTGTTTGCCTGTGCCGTTCAAGAATCATTTCATGGTATTTTTAGTGGTTTTCATTTGAAGATTTTTAAGTTTTTATCTTTATAGTTCTTTTTTGTTTGACTTAACAAGGCAGAGAATTGACAACTCTCCCTACTGATTCTACCTTTCTATGGTTGTCATGATACAACCTAGTGTTTTAGTTTAGTCTATTCATGAACGAATTTGAAACATCTCTTCATATTTTTCCTGTCTCTACGCGTTTTTTTTTTTTTTTTTTTTTTGCATCGCATTTTAGGTATAGATTTTAATATTGTTCAAGTAATTAATCCACTGATTTTTTAAATACATCATTTTTTCTTTCTCGGGTGTTTTAAGAGTTTTCTGTTGTCCGATTTTTTATGAAATTTAAGAAACTAACGTTTAATTTTTACGAAAAAATTATAATTTGTATAGAAATTATTTGTCAGATTCCGCCTAGACATTTAAAAAAAAATGTTTAGTAAACTATTTTAAGTTATTAGCAACCATATATTTTTGAAAAAGAAATAAATAAAACTAGTTATTAGCGCGCAATGGGTTACTATTACATACATATTATGTATACCATTTTAAAGGTTTATCCATGAGCTCTTAATTAATATTTTTAATTATGTGCAAACTGTTTTGAAATAATAAACTTTTTATGTTAAGAAAAATATGTAATAAAAAAGTTAACTCAATGTTAAATGTACTAGGGTTCCATAGGATCCGTGTTAAGACGTAAAGCAGTTCAAAGGATCGACCTATAAAGTCATTCCCCGACAGCCGTTTCTACGTACCGCAATGACCCGAATTATTCGGCCAAGGACTGTCAACCCCACCAACAACAACAATACCTACATATGTAGTAATAATGCCTTATGCAGAGATCTTTGTAGAAATTTACTTTAAATTTATGACTCCTATCCGAATACAATAATTTCGTTCCCCAATGCCTACAAAAAATAATATTTTGCCAGTGTAAATGCTGTAGCTGGATCCACACCTTTTCTTGTTTTAAGATATGATTGTTACTTATTACAGTTGGAAGTTTTCGATTCTAATGACTGCAAGTTATCCAACACTATTTTCATAAATAGATTCGATTTTTTGTGAAAAATCTAGAAAATTCAGTATTTTTAGGGAAAAACTGGCCGATGAGTCCCTAATCTGAAATTTTTTTATTTTATAATACATACCAAATTATTCATACATATTTTTAGTCGAGAAAACGGCTACTACTTTCTGTAAAAACACATTTTATAATGCAAATACAACTCTAGTAACGACAACCTGGTCACTTTACACACGCACAAAACAGAACCAAAAAAAGGAACTTTTAAAAGATGCACATTTTGCCTATTACGCTTATATTCCGTTCATTAGAAAGAGAACAATATATGAGTTGCTGTAACCAGGAGGACACTATAAAAAAATAGTGCATTTATCTATTTAAATGTAATTAAATATTATAGGTATTACACATCAAAACTTATTAAAAGCACTTTTTAGAGGTCTGTTCTTCTTTTTTTACAGATAAATAAATATTTATTACTATTTTAAAGGAAGAATATTAGCAGCGATTGCTATTGATCTAAACAAAATTTTATATACAATTTATTTTGTTATTCTCTTTTGTTTGCGGCATTCGTTTGTTGTTGTTGTGTATTTATTCGCACAAATGTGTTTGTATAGTAAACGATACATTATTTTATTTTTGCCGATTTTCTTATTTTATTATACTCTTTCTTTCTTTATTTTCTGTTTCTTTTTCTTTTCTGCCGCAATTTGAGTAAATAACGAAAAAAAATGTGCGGCCTAATGGAATTGAGAGAATTTAGAACTTATGAAAAAAATTATTTTAAGAAAAACAAATTAATGATTTTTTTATTTCAAGTCATTTCACAAATTTTGTTTAATTAACTGCAGATTTTTTTGTCATTTCTAGATTTTTTTATTTCATCACTTTGTTAAAGAATATTCTTTAGAATAATTATTTTTTTCTTTGATTTACACACACCTTTTTTTACACTGGATGCTAATTAGAGAATAATTCTTACAAGAAAATTTATACAAGATTCCGTTTGCGAACACTTTAAGCAAACATTTCATATATACGGGGGAATATTTTTATTTTACACTGAATTTGCCAATATTTCACCGTGATTTTAGATTTAATTTTCACTAGGAAATTTTATTACAAAACTTTTTTTTCTATATTTTGCACAAATTTACAAGAGACTTTTCCGCTGCTCTGCAATTTTTCTCGGCAAGTCGCAAGGAATGAGTTGGTTTGTGTTGTTTTTTTATTTCTTGTTTCTATTTTCTTCTCGCTGAGACGTACAGCGCTGCCAACTTTGATAAATAAATGTTTAGGCGAATATTGGTGTGAAGAGAAATAAACGATTACGAGATTTTTCAAGTTTTTATCCGTTGTTGTGTGTTGTTTGAATTTTGAATTTATTTTTTTATGAATTTTTGAAATGTAAAGCTTTGCTACTGCTTGATAAAATTAAAAGTTGTTATATGCTCTCTAGTTATTCGTATTAGGTTTTAAAGCATTTGTATGATTTTAAGGGGCCTTAAAATCATACAAATGATTTAAAAACAAATGATGAATGACCGCGTACCCGGTCAGGGGCTTCATAATTTCCGGGGACCCTACTTCCACAGCGCCGGTAATGGGTTGTGGAAAGTCGAATGTTACTGTTACCCAAACTAGTCAGGCGGCCAGGAGGTCAGTCTGGTAAACCAAATCTGGCTGAATGTAACAAATTCGATACCATTCGTAATTGCTCTACAAGCGGTACCTCTGGACTTCTCTTCAAGCTGCTGCAGCCCGAACCGTCAATACGGTTAAAAACCCTGCTTCGAGTGGTGATGGCAAGGGGTCGGCTAAGTCGTCTCTTCTATCATCTTCCCAAGTGCCAACTGTACCCTCAGGCTCAGTTACGGTATCCTCCTGTCCTTGGGTTGTACCACCCCCTGCACAGTCCGGCAAACAACAACAGCTAACGACTCGGCAAAAAAACCTTCCAAAAGGGCGGCAATTACGAGGCGTTCCGCCTCTAGAATAATTGAGCTACTCGGGTCTAAAAAAACCTAGGGGACTCCTACGGAACAAAAAGCTCCGTATGACAAAAAAGAGAATAAAAGTCGTATAATTTATATTCTTTGTGTTTACACGATTTGTATAATATAATAACAAAGTAAGATTAAATTAAATTAAAAATTAAATAAAATTAAAAAAATAAAGAACTGTTCGACTTTTAAATACGTTATTCACGTTAACGCACATAAATAAAACATTCCAGGAATAAAGGTAAAAGTACACAACACGCGTTGTACGCGGCAACGTAGGCTTCTGTCAAAAAAAGTTGAAATAGTGTATTTTCATTTAACAAGTTACACATTGAAGTTTGTAACGCGTCTGCCGCGAAAAGTTCAGCAACTTTTGACGCGTCGGCAGCTGCTCAGGGTTGTATTTTGTTTTGTGTAGAAACTAAAATGGAATAAATTTCTCCAACAATAGAAGAAAAATGTTTATGGTAATAATATGTTTCTAGGTTTATTTCAAGTTCACACGAGCACTTGAATTACTTAATTCGGCCTCTGAATGACAATAGCCAATTAACCCGTTTCTACGACACATTCTTAATTCGTTATGACAGTTCATCGCCATCTTGTTTTTTTTTTCATTCATTATTTTTTCATATTTTGGAATATTTGTGTGTGTGTGTGTGTATGATACAAAAATATGTTTGTTACATTATTTCAAGTTATATATTTTCTATTTATGCTGATTATTATAAATACCCGATAAAAATTAGAGATGATTCGTAATTCGTACGTAATTCAAACTGAATTATGTACAGCTTGAGTAATTAGCAGCAGAAATTTTGTATGGCGAATCATGTCATTCAGTACGTAATTGGAGGTTGAATGATGAATGAGAGCGTGAATTACGAATACTTGTACCGTGTGAACGGGGTATTACAAATAATAAAAAACGTTTACTTATAAAATGTTATTAATAAAATGGAAGAATTATTGATTTGATTTTTAAAGTTTTAGATTTGTGAGTTTGTAACAATAACTTTCTGCAAATAAAATGAGATTTAAATTAAGTTTTTTATTGATTTTGATTTACAAAATCGACTTTTGCTATAACATAGTCGACTTACTTTTATAAAACGACTGTTCGAAACACCCTATTATTAAATACCCAACATCCAGTGTTTCCAAACATTGTCTTTTTATAAATTTTTTTTGGTAAAAAGTTTAGTCTGTAGTGAATAAGGGTTAGATTTTTAGGGAATTTTGTTAAAAACATCACAATTTTTTCATTAAATTATTATAGTTGTTTAAGTTAGAATTTATGTAACTAACTATACTATTTATAACAATATTAGATTCAAATTTTTTTAACATTAATGGAAAATTCGACCGATTAAACCGGTAACGGTGCTTAAATATTGTTTGCCACCAAATTTATGTTTTTTTACATTATATGTAAATAATGTTTGATTTGTCTACGACACAAGCACTATATTGTAATCTCTTTTTAAAAGGCTGATATTTTATATTTAATAAGGGTTTTTATATTCCATATTTGACCCTAGCCCCCATATAAGGTCCCTTTCAAAAAAATGACTTTAACGCTCATTACTGGCTTAAAAATACGAGTATAAATGAAATTTGACATAAGTAAATCCCTGATGAGCCAAAATCTCTCTACTAAATTTTATGTGGATCGGTCCATAATTTACCCTACACCCCATATAAGGTCCCCTTATAAAAATGACTTAAACACTCATTACTGAATTAAAAATACGAAAAATTACTTTAATGCTCATTACTGCTTAAAAATACGAATATAGCGATGAAATTCGACACACGTAAGTTTCATCCGAGTCAAAATCTCTCTACCAAATTTTATGTGGATCGGTAAATAATTGACCCTACCCCCAATTTAAGCTCCCCTTCAGAAAATGACTTTAACGCTAATTATTGTCTTAAAAATACGAGTATAGCAATGAAATTCGACACACATAAGTTCCATGCAAGCCAAAATCTCTCTATCAAATTTTAAGTGGATCAGTCCATAATTGGCCTTAGCCCCCATATAAGGTCCCCTTCAAAAAAACGACCTTAATGCTCATTACTTTCTTAAGAATACGAGTAAAGCAATGACATTTGACATAAGTAAGTCTCTTACGAGCAAAAACCTCTCCAGCAAATTTTATGTGGAAAAATTTTATACTGGCTTACAAGTACGAGAGTAGGGATGAAATTTGACATAAGTTTCTTAAAGAGCCAAAAGCTAAGAAACGTTTATAGGAACGTAAATCTTCCTACCGGAAAGTGTCGGGAACTGATATTCGATGTAAGCATGTTTTATATGCAACAGTTTTTTCTGCAGAAAATTGAACGTATAAGTTTTTCAGTAGAAAATTTCAGCATATCAAGACAGTTTTTTGAATAGGAAATTACTTGTATTAAACTTTTTCTTTGGAAAATTTGATTATTACAATTTTATCATGAATCTACCACTGTGTTATTTCCTACCACTTTTTTTATTCGATTTTTGCTAAACTATATTCAGTTGCGGAAACGAAATACATAATGTGTTTGGAAATCTGACCAAATAAACCGCATATATATATATTTTAATTTCGATATCGAAAATTCCACCACAGCCATTTTAGAAACATTTCTAAAATATTTCTGTTTTTTGCTTTACAAAAATGTAATTAAGAATAAAGTTTAATTTTGTTTAAAGACTGGATTTTTATTTATTTCTACACTTGTGTTGAAAAATATTTTACGATTAATATTTAAATAAAAGTTATACAAACTACCTTGTTTTTGTTTTTTTTTTTTTTAATTCTATATTAAATATTTAGGGTTTTTTTTTAAAATAATTCATTGTAATGTTCGTAACATGAAAAATATTAAAAGTAAAGACGACACAAACAAAAAAGGTAAGTGTCTGATAATTTAACGTTTAAAATTAGAAAATAAAATATAAAATAATATATTTATAGCACTAAACTACTTGTGAAATGTAATGAAATCGTAAAAATCTAACTAAAAATGGGAAATCAATTTACGGGTATAAGGAAATTATACTGAAATATTTACTGACTCTTGATATTGCAGCATTTTTAATGTATTCTTTTCTTTAAATTTGAGTTTTACTTTAAATGACTTTAAATATATAATTATACTTTCATTCCTTACATTTTTTAGTACAAGTTAAATTTGTTCCATTTAATGTGTTGTAATTTGAATGTAAATAATGCTTTTTATGAGTTTGATGCTCATTTAATTTGCATCCTCATCGTCACTTTTCATTTTCTCATCATCCTCATCGTCGTCAGCGGAATTTTCTGCAACTTTTTCTGAGGGATTTTCATCGTCGTCATCGTTTTCGTCATCTTGTGAACCTTTGCCTTGAACTGCCATTTTAGGGCGACCACGCGGTTTTCCAGTAGGTACATAGGGCTTAGCGGATGATGTTGCGGGTCTTCCACGTTTTTTTGTTGTTTCACCGCCACCGTTTTCTGCTTCAGCAACCCGTCTTTTGGCTACCTCCTTTTTCGGGCGTCCCTTACCGCGTCCACTATGAGCAATATTAAGATTTACACCACCGGATGAAGGACGACCAACTGGACGCTTCTCTTCTTCATCTTCCATTTTGTCATCAGAACCTAGAGTATTTTTTTAATTATTAATATGTAAAACAAAAATCATTCAAAAATACGTAATGATTTCAATAAGATCCCATATCAATTACCTTCGTTAACAAGTTTTTATATGAACTAAATGATATGGTCGTAATGTTAATGATTATAGCCCCCCAAAATTATTTTTAAAACAATAGGTAGGTATTTAGATAAATCAGAAATATTTCTTTGAATTAATAAAATATTTAATAAAATTATGTGATGTCCTATTTATTACTGATCTGTATCCCTTAACGAATTAATGCCGGTATTATATGCATATTCCATAACAAAGATGGAAATTTCAGTACAATCGTACATTTTTTGAAATGAGAAAATACCTAAATAGCACTGGAATATGTTAGTTAATTTGTATAAATTATAAATTTTTGCTAAGTCGTACATTAATTAGTCAATATACTAATTCATACACTAGTCAGATAATGAACTAGTAAATACCCTTGTCCATAGTCTAGTTCATAATGAGTAGAGTTTTCATTAGTTTATTATAGACTACTACACCATGGACTACACCGGAAACTATTGCATAGACTTTACACAAACTGGTCCCTATAAAAGTCAGTAGTTTAGTTACTTAAGCTACATTATTACAACTATCAAATATTTGACGAAATGACGTGACATCTAAAAAAAATCGACATACATATATACTATTTACACAAACATCTTTAAAGTAATCAGTTCAGGACTGCTTTATTATTTATTTCGGCATTTTTTGCAATAACAAAAACCATATAAGATCAAAAAAAAAATTTACTAAAAATAGTGGTTGCGTCAAATATTTGATAGATGTGTATATGCCTTTACAATTCGCAATCTTATTTTAGCGCCTTTTTAAACGATATGTGGAAAAACCGAAAAATAACACGTTGTGACTAAATTACAAAAAGTGAATATTACATGGAGTATATTTACTTTTTGTAATTTTGTTAAAAAGGTAGTATTTTTAGTAAGCATGAGAACAATTTAAAATTTTCAGTTTTCTATCCTTTTCTTGACATTACTCTGTCTTGATAAATTGTACATCTGATAATTATATGACTTAGCCCCCTATCAATTATTATTTCAAACCTTCTACTTACTTTCATCATCGCTATTCTGCACTTTTTTAGGACGTCCGCGTCCTTTCTTGGCCGCTTTGGTTGTGCCCTTTTTGCCCGGTTTATAATCGCTAGATGCACCATCTTCATTGTCGTCGGCTGCTTCGTCAGCATCATCGGCCACTTCGGGTTTGGGATTTTTCTTAGGACGTCCGCGTCCTTTGCCCGTGGCCTCAATTGTATGAGTTAATTTACGTTTTCCCTTTGGTTGACGTCCACGTCCCGGAGAAGCGTCTGCTACAGCATCACCGTTGGGCAAGGGACTGCCGCCATCGCTAGCCGTACCCTCTTCTTCACTGCCATCGGCGGAAACGGCTGCTTTAACTGGTTTTTTATTTGCCGCCTCTGCTCCCTTAGCTGGTCTTCCTCTACCGCGTCCACTAGGGACTTTCTTTAGTTTCTCTGCATTAGAAGGACGACCGCGCTTTTTGGGTACAGTTGCAGGCGTTGGGGAAACTGTACCATCACAATCTCCTTCATCGCTCAATGCTACGACTCCCTCCGCTTTATCATTCATTTTTCGATGCTTTTTTTATATTTTTGCTTTTGTTCAATTAAAAACGCAATTTATTTGTATTTATTAACGTTTGAAACTTCTAGTCGTAGTATCGTCAGTGTAAATTAATGTTTTACGCGCTTTGCTGCCGTTTTTCCCACCTTTCGCTTTATACAGAATTTTTCCTTGTCAAGTATTTTCTCTTTATTTTGAAAATATGAAAAAAAAAACTAACAAATTTATTAAAAATTTTAAATTTTACTTGGAATTAAAGATTATTATATTCTAATGTATACATTTATCTGTAAATTATAGTATTTAATTTGTTATTTTACACACTTTTTATACAAATATAAATCAATTTAAATGTCGTTGGCTTGGGTGCTCTACACGGCGTCGGTTTCTTCTTATTAATATTTACTACTCTGTTCATTTTGTTCTTGTTAATTTTTTGCACATCAAAAAACGTAATCAACCAAAATAAGAAAGTAGTGTAATGGCAAATATGTGATAACGGCCAGCTAAATTTTAATTTCTTCTTCTTTTTTACTTAAATTATGCCTTGTTGCCAGACTAACGAATTTTAATGTTTATGATTTAACAAAAAAATATGATTTGCCATGTCTTAAAAATTAAATGAACAATTAATTATCAATTTTAATAAATAAATATTAAATTATAATAGTTTATTTATTAAAATAAAGATTTGATTTTAAATTCCTGCAAACAATATGGTTCTTTCTAGCTACAACTAAACAACTAATCTGGCAGCCCTCAGATTTTGTTTACATTCAAGGGGATTTTTTAAGGTGACAGCATTAGAAAGGGAAAATTTTTATTTTATATAGAGTTTGACAATAAGCAGACATCTTTTTAACTGGAGTTTGGCATTAGGAATAATAACCAGCTTTGTTTACGAAATCACCTTAGAACTCCGCCTTGTTTATTTTGATTATAACAGATATTTTATTATAAATAAATTCTGTTAAAAACATCATCATAATATGTTGTGATTGAAATAATAGCTGTAGTGATAAGAAACGCAAATAATGTTTTTTAAGTTTATAATTGTACAAAGTTTACTGGTGGTACCAGTATTCCTGGATTGCGGCTGCAACAAATTGGACAGAGAAATAACCCAAACAGAAGAACAAAGAACAGAACACGTCAACAGTGTTTTTAAACAAGATGTAGTTAATAAGGTTGAAGCCAACAATGACGAATCCCTAAAAGTTTGCCAACGTCAAGCCAAAAATAATAACAAACATTATAGAGATTATTATCCAGAACCAAGTTATGAGGATATGTCTCTAATACCGGGAGGAAAGTACTTAGTGGGCACCGATGAGCCACATTTTAAAGAAGATCATGAGTCGCCGGAACGTTTAGTTACAATTAAAGATTTCTATATGGATAAGTATGAAGTTTCCAATGAAAAATTTAAGGAATTTGTAAAAGCCACCAAATATGTAACTGAAGCAGAAAAGTTTGGTGATAGTTTTCTATTTAAAACTCTTCTGAGTTCAGAAGATCAGGAAAAATTTAAAGATTTTAGAGTTGCTAGTGCCCCCTGGTGGTTTAAAGTGCAGGGTGTTAGCTGGAAACATCCAAATGGTCCAGACAGCAATCTAAAAGGATTAGAAAAACATCCAGTAGTACATGTTTCTTGGAATGATGCTGTAGCCTATTGTAAGTGGGCCAATAAACGTTTACCCACAGAGGCGGAATGGGAAGTGGCCTGTAGAGGAGGCAAGAAAAGAAAACTATTTCCTTGGGGCAATAAGCTAATGCCTCAGGATAAGCATTGGTAATAACTGAGAAATATTGGTTAAGAAATTTTAAACTAATTTATTGTTTTTTTTTTACTGAATGGTTTAGGTTAAATATCTGGCAAGGAGAATTCCCCGATAATAATACTAAAGACGATGGTTATGTCACTACCTGTCCAGTGAATAAATTTCCACAAAATGTATTTCAGCTCCACAATATTGTGGGAAATGTTTGGGAATGGACACAAGATTTGTGGTTAGAAGGAGATACAAGCCCCAATCCAAGTCGTGTCAAAAAGGGTGGCTCTTATCTATGTCATAAAACCTATTGTTATCGTTATCGCTGTGCGGCTCGTTCTCAAAATACAGCTGACAGTTCGGCGGGTAATTTGGGTTTTAGGTGTGTCAAGAATATGGAATAATAATCATTAGAATGAGTTTATTAAGTGTATAAATATAAAATGTTATAAATGTTTGTCTATAAAGAAAGTATTAATATATTTTTTATAAAAAAAATAAATTGCCTTTCATTTACTACATTCATAGAGATAAAATTTATATGTAGTATTTCCAATTCGTTGGAATAGACTGAACTATTAAATTATACAATATTACAATATTTTTGTAACTTTTAGCATTTTTAAGAGATTTATTAAAATAAATTCTTTTCGCAATCTATAAAAAAAAAAAAAAACAATTTGACTTAGACTACAAATAAAATCTAAGAATAATAAGTATTAGTGCATAATAAATTATTTAACATTCCGCATTTCAATTCAAAACAAATTCAGAATATTACTTAATACGTGGGAAATATGTATTGGTACGCATACTTGCAATATTTCTAAAATCTGAAATATTTCGACCAATATTTAAGATTTATCATTACGGTTATATTTTAATGTATATTCAAACAAAGTTTTAAATAAAAATTATCCATTTTATTTGTTGGTCTTAATTCATATTTTGCTTAGCCAATTCTGGATTAAATTGACTATTATACTTTTGTACAACTCTAGGTGTAGCAATACTTGTTGCTTCTGTTGGCTTGCTAGCTTCCTTAGGCGCCAATAAAGCTTCTTGTCTGGCTTTTTCTGCTGTTTCACGGCGTATACGTTCTTTTCTCAACTGTTCTAGCTTTAATCGTTTCTGTATTTGTTCCTCCATTATTCTCTTTTCTTTAGATTTGTCTTTTTTATGTTTGTGTTCTTTGGAGCGTTTCTTATGTTTTTCCTTTTTATGTTTTTTGCGTTCCTTTTTGTGTTTTTTTGGAGGTTTAGCATGATCCAACTCCACTATGGCAGACTGAGGGCTAGGACTTCTTTTACGTTTTGCTGGTGTGGATTTTATTACCGGTTTGGGGTCAGGCGGTAAAAGGGCATTGATTAAAGTCAAAGGATCGTGATTATGTTTTGTCTTTAAATCTTTTTCATTTATTTCTCCCCTTTCTGTTCCTACCGCTAAACGCTTGGGTGCTACTTCGTACCAACTTTTTAGTTTCAACGCTTCGTTGGTATCCTGACCCAAATAGGTTAAATATCCTATTTGTTTCTCATATTTTTCTTGTTCCTCCTTTTTTTCTTTTTCCAATTCTTTGTTAGTGGTCTTAACATGAGTTTTGTAGTCAGCAAATAGATTTACATGCTGAGAGCTACAGGCCTCTTCATTGTCTGTCTTTTCTTCTGAAGCTTTTTCTTCTTCTCTCTGTCTCTCTGGTAATCCCGAACGTTTGCGTAAAAAGTTGACACGAGCTTCACTTTCCTAGTAATTTCAGAAATATAATTTTTGTTTACGATTAGTAATAATAATGACCAAACCTACTGCAAATTCCAATTTCTCTTGTTTTTTACGTTCTTCTTCACGAGCCGCTGCCTCATCTTTTCTAACGCGGGCTATATTATCCTTGGTCCTCACATGCCATCTATTGTATTTTAGAGAAATTGAGAAGTGGTTTATTAATTTATATATTTTTAATAAATTTTAAAATAAAAATTACCTTTTCTTGGGTAAAATATTCATTTTTCGTAAATTGTTTGGCTAATGTTGATAAAATAAACAAATCTGCAAAAAATAAACGTAAATAAAAGTCAGCTGTAAGAAGAGCTGCCATATCTATTAAGAATTTTGTTGTGAAAACTTTTTACACTGATAGAAATTATATTTAAAATGTAACCAACATTACAGTCGCACAGTGGGCTGATTTCGAATAAACAGTTATAAGTGACTGATGCATTATCGCACAACCTAAACGTCTGAAGCTAAAAAGTGAAACTTTGATCTAAGATTTCCAGACAAATGAATTTACTAGGTTGAGATTTTTAGAAATTCGAATGTTTGGGGTTTTAAACGGGTAATATGAATATGATGCAAGAGAGTTTTTTTGCTACTTTTTGTTCATCAAGTGGTGCTTTTTGAATCTTTTACAATATTTAACATAGAAACGAAAAAATTAGACGCAGCTTATTGATTGAATGAAAATTTATAAAAGGGGAGTTTCTGGTACTTTTTCGTCATTAAAATGGTACTTTTTCAATTATTGAACCTAGAAACATAATGTCATACATATAGAAACATGATGGAATCGAAATCTATAGGAGGTAATTATTTATTCTTCAACTATTTTCGAATCTCTTATTATATATAATAACCTAGACATAAAATTTATAAGACTAAACATTTTGGTACATTTTTGTTCTTCAAAATGTACTTTTTAAAATTTCTATAGTATTGAACCTTGTCATATAAAATTAAACATTCTGTGTCCCGAATGAATGAAAGTCTGTAGGATAGAATTTCTGGTACTTATTTGATCTACAACTGGCACTTTTTTTGCAATATTAAACCTAGAAACATATAATTAGACAGCATCCCAATTAAATTAAAATCTATAAGTGTTCTGATTAGATTTTTTCCATTCTATTCATTCTTCAAATGGTTGAATTTTCTTTTTAATGTTTTTAGATTGTATCTATATTACGATTTAGTCAAAGTTGTCAAACGGAGATAATTTCGATCCAAAGTGAAATGCACAGTAGGGGTATTTTTATCAAATAAAAACGCTTTTTAATTAGTTATTTTTTTGTGATTACTTTTTTTGGGTTAAACTTAACATTTCTTTATTTTATTTTTGTTTTATATTTTAGAAAGAATAAAATAAAAAGTACTTAACAATTTGATGTTTACATATTTTGTTTTATTATTAATTAATTACATTTATGTTTTTTTTTTGTTTTGTATATTACAAAATAATATTTATATGTATAATAATTTTTGTATTAATTAAAATAATAATTATTTTGTTTATTTAATATTAATAATAATAAAAAATAACAAAATGTTTGTTATTTTAAGGGATTGTTGAATTTTATATAATAATAGACTTTATTAAAATAATAATAATAAAAAAATGTTTGCTGTTTTGCCATTTATTTAAATTTATTATTTTTTTAAGAATTTTTTATTACAATATTTTTTACGATTTTTTTTTATTTATTTTGAATATGTTTAACTATTCGATACTTTTTAGTATTAATTTAAGTTTGAAGAAAAAAGAGAATTTCTTTTATTTATGTTTTTTTGTTTTTGTTTTAAAAGATTTTTTGTTTAACTATTTTATTATATTTTTTATGTTTACTTTTCTTAAAAAAAAAAGAAATAAACTATAATTGTATGGATAAATACAATAAAGAGAGGGGAAAAATATTTATTGATACATCATTAGATATGAATAACAGGGATAGTAGGGGGCTGTTTGTGTGTTATAAAGTAGAAGATAAAGTGTTTTTAAAAAATAATATGTTTTTTAAAAGAACACATAAAAAGTTTATTATTATTTTCCTAATGGTTTTTTCCTTTAAGTAACCTCACTTTATGATTACACATTTGAATTTATTTGTTGAAATTGAATTAAGTTTAAAGCAAGGGAATACTACTTAAATCAAGTTTCATACTATTAATGAAATATTTTCTTAATATTAAGAATACTATGTGATTTTGTAGCAATTCTAATGACTTCTTTTTTAAAATCAAAATACGATTTAATGATTTTGTGTTTTCAGACAAAGTAATCGCTAATTTCCATGAGAAAACGATTATGGACTTAGTGCGAATGAGCATCAGACTCAATTCAAAATAAAACGATAAACGCTTCATTAATATTTTATGGAAAATTTATGAAATTTTCTTTGTTTTCTATAACGTAAGACATTTTACGTTTCATTTTATAGAATTCGCACCTAAATCTTTGTTGATAGTGTAATATAAGCTTAACTATTACATATTTAGTATCCACAATTGCCGTGAAAAAAGTCGATTCCATCTAATTGAATAATTTCAAATTTTATTTTCTGTAATTCGATTCGTTTTAAACATCCTCGAAAAGATTGCATTTCGTAAAATGTTCTTACAAATAGCTTACAGATAAAATTCCGGTATAATAAAATTTAAACCAAAAACGTAGTTATTAGGTTTAAAGGATTTTTGAAAGTTTTATCGGAAAGAATCAATTGGGTTTAATATTTAACGTCTTATTTTGCCTTTACCACTTTTGCCAAATAAAAATCGAATTGCAAAACATTTTGTTTTCCAAATCACTGTTTTAAATAGAAACCCTTGTAAAAATCCCTTTTAAAATTTTATCAAAATAAATTCAAATGCTTGTTTGTTGTTTTTTTTTTATAATGAGGTTATTTACTTAAGAACATAATTAGATTTTAATAATTATATTGAGCTTTTAATAAAATTAAATAATATTAACAGAAGAACAAAGGCAAAAGGAAAAGTGTCTTTTCAAAACTTTTTTGTAAAGAATTAGTAATAGTTCTTTTTTTACTTAACAAAGAAAATAGTAAAAAAATAAGTAACAGGAGTAGAAGAAAAGGAAGAAAATTACAAATAGCCAAAAATTAATAGACTTTTTAAATTATTGGTATTTGTAGTTTTACAATTGTTTATGGTTTTCTTGTAGATTTTTTTTCCTATTTGTTAACAATAACAAAATATATTTATATTAATTATTATGTATGTATGTGTTTTAAATGTATAAAAATATAAGCGTTTAGCATTAAAATAAGTTTGTTGTTTTTTTGTTTTTGTTTTGCTATCTTAGGTTTGTTTGCTTTGCTGCTGATTCACTATTAACAGTTTGTTTTCATTTTAAATTTAAATTATTATAAAATTTAAAAAATAAAATAAAAATTAACAAAAAATGCAATTACTTTTTTTATTTTAAGAAAATTTACAGTGTAAATAGCTATTATATAAATTTAAAAAAAAATTAAGAAAAACTATTGCTTTAGAAAAAAATTAACAAAAATTTTACAAATAGAGCTCAAAAAAAAGTAAATGTATTATTTTACATAAATAACATGAAATTGAATTCAAAAAATAAAATTTCATTAAAAAATAAGCCAAAAATTTGAGAATTTTTAATATATAATTAAACAAAATAAAATTTACAAATTATTAAAAAAAAATTTCGAAGAAAAAACAAAACTTTAAAGTAATTTTGATTAATTTACAAATTGTAGTTTCAATTTTTGAGTTTTTAAGTTTCAATTACATTTAATTTTTTTTAATTAAGAAAATTTTCAAGTGTTTTAAAAACATGCCATTTTTTTGAGGAAAATTTTACACTGATATTGTTGGTTTTATTTGTGTGTGTGAGAGTTTTAGTTTAAATTACAAATATTCTATTTAAATAGATTTATTTTTGTAAATTGAAAACCTGATTTTAGAATTTACAAACTTGTTTTTTTTTTTGTATGACTAAATTGTTTTTTATTTACTTTCCGTATTATAAATTAATTTTATAATTTGTTTGCTTTTTTTCATTGTTTTTTTCTTTCTTTTTGCATCAGACTATATATATGTAGTTATATATTTGTGTGTGTGTGTTTTTAATTTTTAACTATTATCCACTAGTTTTTTGTTTTATTTTTTAAAAATATAAAAAAAATATATATTTTTATATTGGATTTCTTTTATAATTTAAAATTATAATTAAAAAAATGTATTAAAAAAAAAGAAACAACAAATTTGGTTGGATGATTAATTTTCCAAGGGGGGAGAGTAGGGGAGTTGAATAAACGTGTTTTGGTTGGGACAAGAGGGCGGGTGTTTGCTTATACAAAATCATGGAATAGATCATTAAGACCCTCTGACTGATCTAAAGAGAAATTATATAAACCATCCAATGGCGGTTCAATGGGCAACAAAGGCGGCAAGTCTTCAAAATCTAAAAAAAAAGTAGAAAAAAAGAAAAATAAAAAGAAAAGAACAAGAAAAACAGGTTAATATTTTAAAAATAATTTAAATTTTATTAAAAATGTTTATTTAAGAATAATAATAGATGAATAATTTTTAAAAACACACTTGACCATAACTGTAAATGAAATGTTAGCAGGAAATGTTTTAACAATTTTAATATATTTTTATATTTTTTAAGATTTTTTCAGGTGAATTGAATTCCTATAAACTTTCAACATTTCATTTAAAATTATTTTAACTTTTATTTATTACAAATAACTTTAAGTTTATTATTGATAAATTTTTATGATTATTTTTTAGTTACTGTGATGATTTGGTTTTTTGTGCTTTGAAATTCATGCCAGAGCTGAATCTCATGGTGCTACAAACTTTCAAATACAAAATGTATACGCAACAAGAACATTTAATTGTTTTTGGTGGTATGTGCCATGCAGACCCACGAGAGTTCAGTTCCAAAATGAATTTGTGCTTTTTATTAGTTTTGTTGGTTTCTTTTTTAAATCCCATTAAGAGTTTGTTTATTATTTTTTTTATTTGTTTGTTTTATGATTTTATGCGTTTTAATGATTTTAATTGTATTCACTACAGTTGAGTTTGTTAATTATTAATGAAATAAAAGCGTAATTAATTGGAATATAAATGGGAAAAACAAAAATTAATAAAGCAAATTAAAAGTTATTGAGTTTAAAATGAAACAAAAATAAAATTACAACAACTACAATTACTTGAAATAAATAAATTAGATGAATCTGCCTGGACTTTAAAGTGCCTACTCAGTTATAGGCCAGTTGTTGTGAAATTCAAGCCAGTGCTAAACAAAAATCATCTTGGTATTCTCTTGGTAGTCTAGTCTATAGTCTAGTCAATAGTCTAGTCTATAGTCTAGTCTAGTCTATAGTCTAGTCTATAGTCTAGTCAATAGTCTAGTCTATAGTCCAGTCTATAGTCTAGTCTATAGTCTAGTCTATAGTATAGTCTACAGTGTAGCCTATAGTCAGTCTATAGTCTAGTCCTAGTCTAGTTATAGTCTAGTCTATAGTCTAGTCTATAGTCTAGTTTATAGTGTAGTCTATAGTGTAGTCTATAGTGTAGTCTATAGTCTAGTCTATAGTCTAGTCTATAGTCTATTCTACAGTCTAGTCTGTAGTCTCGTCTATAGTCTAGTCTATAGTCTATTCTACAGTCTAGTCTGTAGTCTCGTCTATAGTCTCGTCTATAGTCTTAGTCTATAGTCTAGTCTATAGTCTAGTCTATAGTCTAGTCTATATTCTAGGCTATAGTCTAGTCTATAGACTAGTCTAGTCAGTCTATAGTCTAGTCTATAGCTAGTCTTATGTCGAGTCTATAGTCCTAGTCTATAGTCTAGTCTATAGTCTAGTCTATAGTCTAGTCTATAGTCTAGTCTATAGTTAGTCTATAGTCTAGTCTATAGTCTAGTCTTAGTCTAGTCTATGTCTAGTCTATAGTCTAGTCTATAGTCTAGTCTATAGTCTAGTCTATAGTCTAGTCTATAGTCTAGTCTATAGTCTAGTCTATAGTCTAGTCTATAGTCTAGTCTATAGTCTAGTCTATAGTCTAGTCTATAGTCTAGTCTAGTCTATAGTCTAGTCTATAGTCTAGTCTATAGTCTAGTCTATAGTCTAGTCTATAGTCTAGTCTATAGTCTAGTCTATAGTCTAGTCTATAGTCTAGTCTATAGTCTAGTCTATAGTCTAGTCTATAGTCTAGTCTATAGTCTAGTCTATAGTCTAGTCTATAGTCTAGTCTATAGTCTAGTCTATAGTCTAGTCTATAGTCTAGTCTATAGTCTAGTCTATAGTCTAGACTATAGTCTAGTCTATAGTCTAGACTATAGACTATTGTACTAAGTTATGATAAGAAGAAAACTACATATTAGGAACAACTTGGCGTATACTTAATTTACAATATTAAAAAAAACACTCATACGCACTGATGGCAAAATGCCTTAATTTAGGTTAGAATGCAAGAAAATAGATTTATGTATTTAAATTACAACAGTAGAAATGAATCTAGGCCAATTTCGTCCACATTTTTACAAATTCTATTATCCTTGACTCTAAGTCCTGACGTAAATAACACAGGCAAAAAAAACTTTATTTTCAGATCGTCAGATTTGATTTGAAAGTTTCAGATGACATAATAAAATGTTAAAAAATGTTTGGGTTCAAAATTTTCTATCTATATTCAATGGATCTTATTCATAATAGTTTATTTAATGTTAATAAAACAAATGTTCATACAAAATTTGTTCTATAAACTTTAAGTCACAATAAAATAAAAAATAACCTTAAAATTTTATTGAAAAAGACTAATTTTACAACAATAACTAATTTCAAAAATTTGTTTTTATATAAAAGAAACAAAACAACAAAATTTCGTAAAAATATTAAATAAAAAAACAAAATTCAAATTTGGACTGAAAGCTCGTAGACAGGTTTACAACAAAAACTAAATTTAAATTAAAAAAGTAAAATATAAAAATTAAAAAAAAAAAAAAAAACACAAATTAACATAAAATTTAAACTTATTACTAAAAGCACTTTTTGGAATTTATTTTAAATTGTTTGATATTCTTGCTTCACTTTGTTTTTATTTGAGAGAATTTGAATGCACGCTCAGCAAGAACTCAGACTGTGATGCGAATATGAGGTATGATTTTGAGAATTTTTCGATATTTTTACATAGCAACAAAATGGACGACTAACTGTGCAATTATGTGTATATAATGACAGTGAGTGTTTGAAACCATTTGTTGGTTATTTTTTGTAGTTGTTAAGAGTTTTTATTCTATTTTTCATCAAATCAAATCAAAGTAAAGGAAACGCAAATCACAGAGAGAGTTCTCGACAAGAATGATTCTTTTTTTTTTTTGTACGATATTTCTTTTAGAAAAACTTTGACTTTGAGTTTCCGTTTCCAGGTGGTTGATGCATACGTGGATGTTTTATTGTTTTTTAATGAAACATGAGATAGAGAGAGAAAACGTAGAGAGACACTTATTGCAATTAAAGTTAAAGACACACAATACTTACAATTATAGGTAGTGGGACTAAGGTTGACACTATCCGAAATTAAAGCGTTCCGGACGCCTGAACTACAATTCGAATTTGAAACATGCATGTGTGCAAGATGATCATCATTATGTGATGAAGAAGAATTACCAACAACAATACTATTATCGAGATGTTGCTGCAATTGTTGATGCTGTTCCTGATGATGATGGTACTGTTGCAATTGTTGTTGATGTTGACCGCCAGCGGTGGTTGTTGTTGTTTGCAATTGTTGTTGATTATTATGTGTTAAAGTTTCATAATTCAAATGTGTTGGGGAATTGTCTTGCTGCTGTTGTTGATGATGTGGCGAGGTGGCCGATGACGAATTATTTGATGGAACTTGTGATGAAGACGTTGACGACGACGCCGAAGAGGATGTTGTACTGCCAGTTAATAGACTTTTTTGCTGCTGTTGCTGTTCCATTGCACAATTCACCAAAGTAACATCTTTTCGTAAACCAGATTTTTTCGACGACGACGACAAAAGGCTCCTATTCGTTGTGCTATTACAACTGGTAAGCGTAAGGGTTTGATTAGAATCATTACTATCCGGATTACTTTCAGCGGTATGACGGCGCTGCTGCTGTTGTTGCTGATTGGAACAAACAATTAAACTTTGATAGGAAACCAAAGCATCCTCCTCCTCGGCTGTTAACTTTTGTTCCTGGGAATTTTGCATGTGTTGTGTCCTTTGTTGATGCTGTTCGCCTAAAACCTGTGTTATAACCGGCCTTGTTATGGAGGGGAACATATTGAAATCATCTTCATTTAATAATGAAGAAGAATTTGACTGCTCATGCTGCTGCAGATGATGATGTTGCTGCTGCTGTTGTTGTTGATCCTGAGTTGGGTAGTTAACTTCGATAAGCGATGCAGCCTCTTGTTGAGCTGCAGCTTCTATTGACTTGCTAAGATTACGTTGAGCCGAACGTGGTACCAAGTTGGTGGCTGCCGCCGGATATGTAGATGCTAAAGGTTGTGCTGTTACAGCTGGTAAACCTACAAAAAACAATAATAATTAATTTTAATGGCATATTTTTGTATTTAGTGGGGGGGTAGCGTTAGGAATTTTAACACTTACCTAATCTATGACGTTTTTCGTCCTCCATATCAGTAATCAAGTCATCATGATGACGCTGTTGCAATGCAGCAGCAGCATGACGTTGAGCCAAAGAGGAGGAGCCAAAGTTGGGTGAATTTTCCGGTGAGTTATCATGACAAAGGAATACATTGATTTCACCATTATTTTCCGCCTTAACATGTATCTCACGAGGATTAAGAGAATCAGGTAACTATAAAAAAATAATAAATATTTTATTAATTTTTGTTTTTTGTTAATAAATGTTTGGTATTCGACCAACCAATGACAAATACTCAGAATAACATAGAATTCAATAGAATTTATCTTTTTTTATAAATTTTTAAAAAGCCAAACAAATTTCTTTTGTTGAGCTATTTTTCTGCAACTAATAACAATGAAAAAAATCTATATATGTCTGCTGTTAAGTATAAGTAAACTTTTTTTTTTTAATATAGCTAAAAGTTTCTCTTTATATGTTTAAATATACATATAGTTATACTCAGTCTGTCACTTTACTAAATGTGAGTTGTGTGTGATTATTTTTGATATTTTTAGCCGACTTTTTTGTTGTTTTATTTAAAAATATTTCAACAAATTATTATGCTAACCCACATACACAGACTTCTGTAGTCTTATGTCAAGTTTATAAAAATACTTTAAACATTTTTGCATTCGCAAAGAAATTTTTCAGAAAAAAATCTTTGCATTAAATTTTATAAAATATTATCATCATTGCTTTTTATATAAAATCTTCTTCTAGACACATTAAACATTTAGATGATTTTGCATTTTTAAAAATTCATTTCACTTTTTTGTTATGCGCCGGCTAGGAATTGACGTAAAGAATTTTTTTTATAGACAAATCGTTTTTTCTTTTTTTCGTTAAAGTATTTAGAATAGATGGATGGATGTTGGTTGGAGAAATGACAGATAATTGCTGCATGCAGCATAGAAATAGAGAGTGGTTATTTGTTTTTTATAGACTACTTGTAGCTTTTTGACACTACACCAATTCCAATAGTATTTGAGAAAAAATTTGAACTAAAATTTCAATTTAAAAGTTTTCTCTTTGTATTTCAAAAACTTCCTCTTCAGAATTTAATTTTTTTTAATATTTTAGAATTATTAATTTTCTAACAGAAAGTTTTAAAATTGTTAGTTTTTAAAAAAGTTTATTTTAAAATTGAAATTTTTGAAATGTGTAAGAAATTTCTTAGTTTTATTATGAAATGGTGTAGTTTTTTTTTATATAAAACGATTCATCTAAAACGATTTATTTGAAATTAATTTCTTCACGCCAAAGATTTGATGTTTAGAAATAAGTAAAATATTTAAGTAAATTTTAACATCCAATTTCTTTCAACTTACCACAAGTTTTGCTTCTGGTGGTGCTTTAATAACTATAATAATTTGATCCTTAAACAGATCGACATTCAATAGATCGCTGTGCGTCACATATGCCAATTGATCATTACGCGAGATTTCGCCATGCAATTCATTACGTATTTCATCAATCAACATATTCAATTCATTCTCCTTCTGTTCGAGACGTTCATTCTCCAATTTAATATCATTCGAGCGTTCCGATGTCAACAGCGAATTGCCACATTTCCATTGTATATTATTTTTCGATTTCTTCTCCAGTATACCAATACCCTCCAGTACATTGGTGATATCGTAAATACGACGTTTTTGTACGGCCAATTTAGTGGAGGCATCATTTAAGTCGACCACACCATCGGGTGATTCTTGTAAAAGATCTACGAATTTTTTCGTTAATATACCCAATGAGGTGTCGGCACGATTACCTTCGGGTGTGCGTTTGGCCGAAGCGCCAGTATTATTGACACCGTGACTATTGGAAGAGGCTGTACCGATTTTATAGAGCAAATTTGGTGCCATTAAGGCTGATGACGATGATGTCGAGGAAGCTGATGATGGTGGTCTGGGTGGTTGTGGTGATGGCGTGGCAAAATTTAATGAAAGTTGCTGTTGTTGTTGTTGCTGCTGTTGATGATGAATCTGAGGTGTTTGCTGTTTGTTAGTGTTTGAACGTATAATAACATTATGTTGCTGTTGTGGTTGTTGTTGTTGCTGTTGTTGTTGATAAGGTGTCTGATGTTGTAGACTTTGTTTGGCCTGTTTCTTCGGATGACTATCATTCATAGGTATACGCCGTTTAACCTTAATAAAAAAAGGGATTATTATTAATATAAAATGATAGATTGTTTTCTTGGGCCTGCTACAGTATGACAAGTATTAGTTCATACCGTTTTGATTTGTGGAGAATTATTAATTTTTGACTTGATGTTACATCTAATGAAGTTTAAATTTTGATTGCACTTTAGTGTACAAATGCATTTTAAGATTCGTTTGGAGTTCTTATAAATCTCACAAATTCCGAGTGGACAAATTAATTTTACAGTTGAAATCTGTAAACGATCTGTTATTCTTGAACATTCAATGTAATTTTGACAATTGTTAATTTTTTATTCATCGGACGTGCCTGATCGCATACCAGACACTGAATATGTCGGAAACTTTGAAACGCTAATCCCAGATAGAATGTCTTGGTCAAGCGGAACATTAGAGCAAATACCAGTAGGAATCCGTTGCTACACGGATGGCTCTAAATTAGGGGACAAAGTGGGTCTGGGGTTCTATATTGAAGACCCAGAAACAGAAATATACCACCGTTTACCTAATCATAACACAAGCTTCCAGGCAGAAGTACGAGCAATAACGGAATGTGTAAATTGGATTAGAATAAATATGGCGCCCACAGGGCTTAATATATTTACCGACAGCCAGAAGGCAATTTGTGCGATATCAGGTGATAGAATTAAATCTAAGACCGTATTGGATTGTAAGAAAGCTTTAACTGAATACTCTCCCAGAGGTAAGGTTCACATCATATGGGTACCAGGCCACTCGGGAGTAGCCGGCAACGAAAGGGCGAATGTAATAGCTTTAAAGGGAAGGGAGCTCGATGTAGTTAACCTGACAAACGCAAAACCATTCGACGCAACAAAAGCTGAATTAAAAATATGGATGAGAAAATCCCATAAGGCCTCTTGGAATAATGAAACGGTGGGTAGAACCACAAAGATTCTATGGGGTGACCCTGATGAGAGCAAGACGAGAAATCTTCTCAAAATGAGCAAGTCTGAGGTTAGTATGATGGTACGTATTCTCAGTGGACACACAGGATTACGAGCACATCTATACAAAATTGGACGTGCGAATTCAGACGAATGTAGAGCATGTGGAGAGGACAGTGAAACTCTGGAGCACTTTCTTTGCCATTGTCAGGCATTCGTCGAAGTTAGATCCAAGTATCTTGGAAGTGATGTTATTCCAGAAATAACATTCTTAACCAACACCGATTGGAAGATTCTTAGGAATTACGTCCAGGAAACTGAGTTTCTGAACATGGAAAAATAATACATTCAGTGAACAATTTTTTTTTTTTTTTTTTCTTGAATTGGAGCGCACAACAGGCCCGATAGTGGCCTAGGTGTATTTCTTCGGATTTGATGTAGTATACATCCTCCTATCAACCTACCTACCTTTTTATTTATTTTTTATTTTGGTGACAATTTATTCGTTCTTTCTTAAAATTTATATATTTTTTTGGTTATTATTCGAGAATGAGATCAAAATTGAAATATTTTCACAAATCGCATTCGAATGTATGAGTTCTTTGCAAAACTGGTAATAATCTTGATAGAATTTTTAGCTGGTAAAACCACATTATCATTGCGACAGTTTTAATTTAGTTAAAAATTAAAAAATAATTTAATTTTCAATTATAATTCTTTAACTAAAAAAAGTTTTCAAAATTCTAAATAAAAACAATATACGAATTATTCATTACCTTGTAATATTGTGTCATATCGGTAGGCTTGAATTTTTGTTGTTGTTGTGGTTGTTGCGAGGCAGGTATTGTATTAGAAGTGACAGAAACAGCAACTGTTCCCGATGTTGGTGTAGAGGAGGAGGATGAGGTGGTTGAGGTCGTTTGTTGTTGACCCACCACTGCATTGGTCGCTACTGTTGGCGGTGTTAGGGTAACACCATAACCATGATCTAACAAATGTGTAGCCATGTTGTTGTTGTTATTGGTCGCATTTTGTTGCTGCAGCTGATGATGCGTTTGATTTGTTGTCATAAAAATTCTTGTTGTTTTAGTACTAGACGATGATGAACCCCTTGTTGTAGCCGATGCTGAAGACGTAGTGTTCTTTTCACAAAATAATTTTCGTATAGCATTGGTGGTTCCGGTAGCGGAGACAGAAGAGGAGTTTGATGTTGTTGTTGTACCCACATTTTGATTGACTTGATAAACATTACTAGTGGCTGCAGCATTGGCATTTGTTGTTGTATTAATGAAATATTTTGACATTGTACAATTTTAAACGTCTGAAACGTTTTAAATTTTCTTTTTCGTTTTTTTCTTTTTTTTTTGCTTTTCTGTCTGTCTTCTGTGCTGGAGGTTCTTTATTGCTATGCGACTGGCCTTTACTTCGGTGACTTTAATTTGTTAGTTTTGTTTTATGTTTTTGTTTGCTTTTAAAACAAAAATAATTGTTCTTTATTTCGACTTTGTGCTTAATAGGCTTGATTCTTTTTCTTGCTTTCTTAATATTTGCTGATTTCTTAAAATACTAACATTATATTTAAATTTTATTTTTTTATTTAGTTTTTGAAACTATTTCTTTTGTGTGTTTTTCTTAAAATATTTTCTTTTACCTAATAAAATTGGAGTGATTTATTATTTCTTTATGGGGGTGTAGTAGAAGGATAAAAAGGAGACAACTCTTTTTCAAAATGTTGTTGTTACAATTTTAACATTTCCACATAAAAATAAAATCTTTACTTTTTTGCATGAATATTTGTTAGATATTCATTAATGTGTTTTAGTTTTCAACTGCTTTTCTTGAGTGCTTTCTTTAACTTTTAGCTGTTTCTCTTTTTAGCTTTTGTGTGTTTAAGGAAGTTGCTGCACAGTTCCTTTTGAATTCTTTTCGTATTTGGATTTGCTTAAATGTTGCAATTGTTGTACTTTGTTGAATTTATTTAAATATTTGTTTAATGTTTCCTAATTTCTAAAATTAGCACCTAAGGATTCCATCTGTAAAGATAAACAAAAAGAGAAATTAATTAGTTGAATTAATACAAAAATCAAATGTAATGAATGGGTTTTAGGTTCCTAAAACTTTAGCATTATTTCTTGTTATTGTTAAATGAAAGTAGCTTTCTTTTTAATATTAAAAAGTTAGGGTTCTTAAAAATATTTTAACCGGAAATGAAGTATTGATTTTTACTTAAGAAATGACACATTGTTTTTAATGACAAAGTTATTTTGAAAAGAATTTTGAAAATAAAGCACAACAGAAGAAATTGAAAGAAATGAAACCTGTTTAAATACAAAAAGATATGATCATAAAACTGTAATTAAAGTTGTAAAATCGAAAATTCATTAACTAAGCAATGTACTAGTAGATATATTAGTCCATAACTTAGCCGATTGCCTATGGAGTAGTCTTTAGACCAGTCTATTGACAAGTTTATGGATTAGCCTTCTCACTAGTCTATGAACCTGGCTTTTGACTAGTCTTTGGATTAATCTATTGACAAGTCTAAATATAACGACTAATTTACTAACTATAGTACTGTCTAGTGACTAGACTGAGTGAGAACTATACTTATGAGTAGCCTATTATCCAGTATATGGACTATAGTCAATATATTATTCTATGAACTAGATCATACATTAGTCTATGGACTAGTACTTAGACTAGTCAAAGGTCTAGTCCTTAGACTAGCTCATATTTTAATCTATATTCTAGTCCATAGACTAGACAATAGGATAGTAAAAAGTCGAGTCCGAACGAAGGTCTAGTGAATAGTCAATGAATCTATTTAGTAGACTAGTCGACTTGTCTACCATAGACCAGTCCTTAGATAAGTCAAAGGTCTATTCCTTAGACTAGTCTAATTGAATTGTCTATATTTTAGTTCACATAATAGTCTATAATATAATTCATAGACGAGTCAGTAGAATAGTCACTAGACTAATCCATAGAACAGTCAATAGTGTAATCCATGGAATAGTCAAAGGTATGAGCTATGGAGTAGTCTATTGACTGTTATATGGGCCAATCTATTGATTAGTCTAGAGACTAAACTATTGACTATTCTATGGACTAGTCTAGTGATTATCCTATTGACTAGTCTAAAGTCTAGTGACTAATCAATGAATTTTCGTTCGGACTAGACTATTGTCTAGTCTAAAGTATGAACTCGTTTAGAGATTAGACTATGGACTAGTCTATTGACAAGTATATTGACTAATCTATTGATTAGTTTATGGACTAGACTATTGAGTTGTGTAAGTACTAGACTATTGATAATTCTATTGACTAGTCTAGATACTAGATTATTGAATGGTCATTTGAATAGTGTAGGAACTAGACTACGGTCTAATCTATTGTCTTTTCTTGTCATTTTAATGGCCCAGAGACTCTGTGATGTAGTTTATTATTTAGTCCATCGACTATTTAACAAAAGTTTTAATACAAAACTTATTGAAAATTTTAAGTTATAACATTTGATTATTAAGCATTTAAAATGTGATACATACGTATGTTGATATCTGAACTTAAAATAATAGGCATAACAAATATGAAAAATCGGTTAATCTATTTTTATATTTTGTTTTTGCAAAAACAACAAAATGTCAATAAACTTTATAAAAAAATCAACAAAAACGAAATACAACTATTTTTCTTCTTTATAATAAAAAATACCATATGGATTCTGTTACTTATGGGCTTTTAATCAACTTCGGTTCACAGAAAGAAGAATAGAAAAGTTTATGACAATTATAAAAAATTAAAATTATTAATGTTATTTCGTTGTTGTTAGTTTTTTTGAGGGTCTTTAAAATCTGGTTTCTAATGCCCAAACTAATATTTTTTAAATTATTGCTATTTTTATTTGATAACAACCAGTCAAGCTTAAAAATAAGACATTTGTTCTTGTTTTCTTTGAAGAATCAATTGATAGATTTTATTAATGGGTTTTAAAATCTCTGGAGGTTAAGAAAATGAAAACAATATCTAATAAACGTTAAATTTGAAAAAATATATACAACATTTAAAAGCCAGTGTTGCAAATAATATATTGTTTTTAAAATTTGTTACATTAGATATCAAATAAGGCCTTCGGAAAAGCAACTATGTATAGGGAAAGACGAACATTGTATTAGTTTCCAAAATGTTATATCTAATTTTCAGAATATTTTTTGTGGGTTATAAACCCTTATCAAAGAAGAAGGTTTGAAAATATACGATAAAACAAACTAAATTGACAAAATAATTTATTTAAAACACTAGTTTTGGTAATAAATTTTAAATTTCCGTTTTCGAAAACCTCCTTTAGCTAAAAAGAAATCAACTGGATAAGAACTTATCGCTTAAACATTACCACACACCTTGGTTCTTTTAAAAGAGTATGTTGAATGTGATATTTATGGCATACCGAGTTCTTAATAAACAATTTACTTAAAATTATTTGCTGTATTATCAACATACTTGTTAGATTTTAGGTGTTTCCATATTTAAATTCAAAATTAGTTGTTAGAATTTTGTTAAAAACCACAATATTTATTTAATTTTATCGTTATTTTATTTATAAATTTAACTAAAATTTTTTGAACACTTTACATTATTTTGTATTTTATTATATTAAGTTGAAATATTCTTCCAAAGCCAAGTCTAAAATGTTTAAGTTAATGGTTTGAGTTTAAAAATACTTCTAAACTTTAAAACACATTAATGATACCCAAATAATGTAGTTTTGAAAAACTCCCCCCAATTTAAAAAGAGATTCATACAAAAAAATGAATTAAAATCTTAAACCCAAAAAGAATGCGCTGATCTTACACAAAAACAACATAGAGAAACTGACCCATGTTAATTTGAAATAAAATCTCACTTTACTCTCTCCACTCTTTAAATTGTCTCCAGTAATTAAAATCTTCAATTCGGGATTTATATTCTTCAAACATGTTATGTTTTCTTGTTGTTGTTGTTTTCATGCAAATATCAGTTTTCATGTGTGTTGTTTTCTTAACTGTGTTGTAATCCGAGTTGTATACATGGATATCTTAGAAGACTACAATGAATTTTTTATGATGTTGATAATTTTAGTTTTGTCCAAAAAATCTTAAACATTTTTTTCAAATATTTTAGTTTGCTTGATTAAGTGGAAATTTTTTTAATAATAAATTTAATGTGGGTTTGGTGTAGTTCAAAATTTGAACTTCAGGTAGGTTTTTAACATTGACGAGTGACAATGTTAATGAAAATTTTTTTCGTTTCTTGAAAAAAAAAAAAAATTAGCTGTAAAAAAGTATAAAATTACAAATTTGGTTTAAAATTACAATTATTATGGACACGAATTTGAGTAAAGCAATGAAATTATTTAATGAACTTTGAAAATTTTATTATAAGAGTTAAATTTCTTTTAAATATTGAAACTTAAAAAAAGAAAAAGTAACGATTTTAGTATAAAAAAAATAATATTCTTTAAGATAACACTTCTTTATTTTAGAATTTTCTATTAAATTTCAAACCAAAGAACCATAAAAATGTGTAAAAGCCATAGTTTTTATCATTTCTAACGCTTAACGTCAACATTGTGTTTTAGTCGTTAACATTTAATTTACTTTAATTTCAACTACCTCTTACGGTATGATAAACAAAACAAAAAATGCAACAAATTGAGAAAGAGCGAGAGCACTTAAATTATGTTAACAACAGTTTAATGTTAAATAATACATATGTTTATGTTAATGACGACAAAATTAAACGATTACTGATAACAGGCATTCTCACAATTCTCCGATAAAAACAAAACAACAACATTTAAAAAGGTGAGAAAAAATGTGGGTTTTTTTTGGTATAAAAAATAAATTTTTGTTTTATTGTTGTTATAAAAAATGACATTGAGTAATAAAAAACTTTATATATAAATAATTAAAATGATTTCGATTAAAACTATGTTAAATATATAATAGAAGCGGTATTTAACTAAAAGAACATAAAAGTATTAAAAAAGTTTACTAATTTCTTTCATGATTAATATGTAAAACGAATTATATACATATTTTACCAAAGTTCAAATACCTATAAAGTTAATGTCGTGTCTCTTTTTAAACCAATTTGAAACGGTAGTTTTCTAACTGTTTTATCTGTTTTTCAGTTTTTGCTTTAAGCTAAACTAATGAATAAATACTGACATTGTTAAACTAAGTTAATAAAAAAGTTAAATAAAGTACATACAAAAAAAAAAAAACAAGCCTCAATAAAACAAAAACTACACAAATCACCATAAAAAAGTGTTAAAATGTTAATTGATTGTTATACGTTAATGCCAGAGTACAAAACAAAGTAAATAACATTGTTGTTTGTTGTTGTTATTATGTTAGTACATATTGCCTCAGTTTTGCAGTTGCCAGATTTGATGTTTAGTATTTAGACGTGTTTTCTGACATCAAGGAGAATTTATGACTGCAATTAGGCAAATTTATTAGTGCAGTATATGTGGGAGTTGGACAACGTAAGTAGTGAGATCATTTTTAGCAGGTCTGTACTTTGACAGTTCAAATTGAAAATAAGCAGTTTAATTGATGTTTATACTCTTCGCCACTCGGTTGGGAGGGTATCATGCTTCATTGCTGATGTTTTTAATATACAAAAGACCCGGCATTCACCGTGGAATCATTTTGCAGAGTCGAGTAAGCTATGTACGTCCATTTGTCCTCCCATGTAACCAAACTAAACGTTATAATTTTAATGGTAATTTGGCACACGTGTCACTTTTGGATCAAGAATGAACCCTATTGGAAATCATAATTGCGTTAAATCTCAAAAAAAATTTACTGCCTCGTAAAGACCGGGCCTTATTTGACCGCAATCCCCATTTAAAATCCACTTCAAATTCGATTGAATATGACTTTAATTTCACTTTCATTTAAAACCAAAACAAGCCAATAAAATCAAACCCAAAACAATATAAACAAATTTTAAAACACACTTTTTATTTCATCGCATTCATGTGGCAACT